CTCTGTTGATAGGGAAAACAAAGGAGGGTAGTGCCAAAAGTTTGGTCTTTGCCCCTAAACTGGGACACGACTATCAATCTAACAACCATTTGCAGATACTCATTCTGGCTTCCGGAGAGACAGACGCCAATCGGCCGTTCTTGGCCCAGGTATGTCTGAACCAGGTCAGACTCTTGCCTGTGCGTGCTCTGCAGTCCAGCCAGTCAGCTCTGATGGAGCAGCGGATCAGACTTTTGATCAGCTCTACCTCAGCCGGGGAGGACATCTGTATCCCTTTGAAAACAGCGTGGTTTCTTGCCTTCCAGAGAGCCTCCATCATGGCCCCTCTGCAGACCAGGGCAACATAACCCCACCCTGATGTGAGTATAGTATCATGCGAAGTATGGCCAAATACTAAGGTCCATTCCTGAGACCACTGGAAATCCCCCCCGGTCAGGTTGGACCAATGCGTCCGCCACCAGGTCCATATCTGATGGGAGAAGGGGCAGTACAGCCATATGTGACTACTAGCTGTTTCCCAGCCCCGACTGCACCGCGCCCATTGTTCCGTGATGTTCATGCCTTTCCGGGCCAGCCAAGTCGAAGAGGCTGTGACTAGTAAGGATTGGAGCCACATCAAACTTGCGTGTTTTTGGGAAGGAACCATCTTAAGGCCGGTCCACAGCTTCTGACAATCAACAGAACCTAGCTGAAAGCCGGCCTCCTTCCCCATCCTTTCGGAGGCTAGGACAATCTCCTGTTTCTTGATCCTAGTCCTTTGAATAATCACCCCCCATTTTGTTTTGTACAGACAGGCTGCGGAAAAGGGGCGGCCTGGATCAAGTTTCTCCCAACCGAACTGAGTAGGCTCCACTGTGATTGATGCCGCAGCTTCATACAGAAGAAGGCAACTACCTGTAGGGGATGGGTCAGGGTTCCAGACACGACTCTCCGTGAAGCCTCCTGTAGATGGCAGGATCCTTTCTCCACAATGTTTTAGCGGAGTGACCGTCCCTTTGCGCCCCATTGCCTTCCATACTTGCACTCTGAGTCCCTGGGCCAGTTCCGGGCCCACCACCTTCAAGAAGTGACCTGGAGTAACGGGGTCCTTGAGCCAGGAACCTGCTGGAGCTTCCGTCTGGTTTCTGAGTTGGCTCACCCAGAAGGGGGGAATAGCCTTCTTTAATCTGTCTAGGTTTTCTTCCAGGTTGTGCACTTGAGGGAGAGCCCAGCGTAGTCTGTCCACCGGGACCCAGTCCCCATTTCTCTGATCCCATATATCTTTAATTTGGATTACACCTTTCTCTACCCAGGTCCTACCATGGGAACCCTTACTCCCATCTGCTAGGAACGGAGAACCATTCTCCTGAACGATGAGGGGGGTTTCAAAGAGGATCTGATTAAGGATCTCTTGTTTGGTTACTGGTTGAATTCTTACACTAGGAAAGATTTTGTACCAAGCGGCTAGGATATTCTTCCACAGTCTAGACTTCGGGCGACGGTGGATGAAGGAGGGGATAAACATACAACGCCATACATCTTCTGATTTGGCTAAACCCCATTCTAATACTAGAATGTATTCTGCCAGCTTTACCCACCACTTACCCTTGCTTCCCCAAGTCGCAGCGATCACCCACTTACTTAGAAGAGCCACGTTTTGTTGGATGGGGTCTAGAATGCCCAAGCCCCCCAAGTCCCTGGCTGTACACAATGTCTCCCAGGCCACCTTCGGAAGGAAGCCCTCGTGTTCATTAGCTGAGGGTTTCCAAAGATAACGAGATGCCGCCCTCTTGATCTTAGCATATGCCCCCTCACCGAGCAGATGAACGGAGAGCAGAAACCAGAGAAGCGAGAAGGCTGCTGCCGAAATAACCATAGCACGACCGTAGAGGGACAGTTTGTGGCTTCTTATCCATCCTGCGATTCTGGCTGACACCTTCTCTGCCAGCAGCGCATCCTGCACAGACGAGCACTCAGCCAGGGAAACTTGAACGCCAAGGAAGCGATCCGAAGAGTTAGCTGAGATCTGATGCAATCCCCAGTCCACACACAGTTGTTGGGAAGGGGGGAGGAAATATACTGATTTATCCCGGTTTATGGATGCTTCTGAGAGCGAGCAGTATGTATCTATGGTTTTTCTCAGCTCTTTTAGGGCCTCTATCGAGTTCTCACAGGCTAGCGTAAGATCGTCCGCTAGGGCTCCCCCCTTCCACTGTGAGGGGGAGAGAGTCAACCCTCTAATTGAGACGTTCTTTCTAATATTGTTTAACAAGACTTCTGGCTGCAACACGAACAGCAGGGGGGCTAACGGACAGCCCTGTCTGAGTGACCGCGTAAGACGAAAGCTTTCAGAGGGTCTGCCGTTAACTATCACTACAGATGAGGCTTGATTGTAGCTAGCTTCGATGCATCTGCAAAACCCCTCCCCAAAGCCCATCTTTTTCAGAGAAGTAAAGACGGAACTCCAGCCAACTTTGTCATAGGCCTTCTCCATGTCAAGGAGAAGAACGGCCACATCCCGCTTTTCTTTGCTGATGATTTCTAAGGCTTGCACCGTTGCAAGGATATTATCAAAAATTGATCGGCCTTTCACGAAGGCCCCCTGCTCCCACCCAAGTAGATCAGGAAGAAGTTTGGCCAGTCTCAAGGCTAGAGTTTTGGCGAATAGTTTGTACGTGACGTTTAAGACCGAGATAGGCCGCCAGTTGCGGACCTCCCTCTTGTCCCCCTTTTTATAGAGGAGGGAGATCACACCCGACGTGAAATTCCTGGGGAAGGCGCCTGTAGTCATTGCCCTATTGTAAATTGTGCACAGGAAAGGGGCGAATGCAGGCCATGCTGCTAGGAAAAGTTCAATCGGTAGGCCATCAAGGCCTGGGCATTTGCCCTTTGCCATTTGCCTGGCGGCCTGCAGGATCTCCTGTTCTGACATTGGTTGGTCCAGGGTAGTCCTATCTTTGGATGAGATGGTCTTGTACGGTGAGTCCCAGAAGTTGGAGTAGTCCGACAAATCGCAGTTCGGGGGGTCAAAAGGGCGTCTAGTGGAAACAATATCCTTGTAATATTCCAGGGCATATTTACACATTTTGATTGTATCTGTGGCCAATGGGGCGCTGATGGTGAAAGGGTGCGACAATTCTCTCATCAAGGGTTTGGAATGGCGAAGAATCAGTGATCTGAAAGAGATTTTGGTCATTCTGTCATAGCCCATTATGCCCCTTAACTGTAGCCATTCTAACCATTCCCCTTGTCTTTGAATCTGCAGGGCCTCCAGTTGTGCACGGGACCGAGATCGTCTCTCATACCAATACAAATCAGAGAAGGGGTCTCTGCCCATCTGAGTTTCCGCTTCCTGTATTTCATTGGTCAATCTTCGTTCGTTTCAACTGCGGTTGGCTGCTTTCATCCTAGAGAACACTATGAGGGCTGATCTGACGATCCCAATGCCAGTATCCGCTCAAACGTTAGGATCTTGAAATAAATTTTTGGCGTCCATCCAATTTTCCATATGGGTAGTAATCCAACGCGTAATGCCCTCATCCTTTAGCAGATTTATGTTAAGGCGAAAGGGCGGCCGACGCCTTTCAATCATGTCTCGTGCCAACACATCCATTAATACTGGATGATGGTCAGAGAGCGAGTGACATATTAAGTCGCAGGCCATGGTGCGATCCCAAGGTGCGCCCTGGGCGAGAAGGAAATCAAGTCGTTTCCTTGGGTCCGCTGTTCGTTTGTTAGGTTTCGGGCCATACCACGTAAAACCGTTTTGGTCCGGATTAAGAATGCGGAAGACGTCCGTTAAGCTCTGCGACTCAGTTAACTCCGATAAAATAAGCGAGTCTAATCGGATGGGATAAACCTTGAGGGAGTCAAGGCCAGGGTTGAAAACAGTATTCCAATCCCCGACGAGAACCAGATTCTCCGTGTCCGGCAAGACTGACGGTAAGGCTGAGAAGAAAGCCACTCTATCTGGGAACTCAACAGGCGCGCAAACTGTCATAACTGCCCATTCTTCTTTATCTAATTCAAACTTTATCCACGCCTACCTCCCTCCCGGGTCATTGTATTGATCAATTATCTCCACGTCCAAATTCTTAACCACTAAGATGGCCACCCCACCTTTAGTACCATCGGCTGACGCCCATATTTGTGGGCCGTCCCACCACCTATTGCGATCTAACAGTTTCACCTCACCTAATTTAGTTTATTGCAGGCACAGAATATGTACATCATGAGTGTGGCACCAGGCATGCAGTCTGACCTTTTTGAATCTGTTTGTAGATTCACCAAGTCCACGTACGTCGTACGTTCCAGGTTGCGATTCTAATTCTTTTTGGCAGGACCATTGGGTTGGTTCTTTCCACGCTCTTCTTGGATGCGGATCTTGGAGTTCTTCTTAACCTTATTGCCTAAGGCTTCAGTAGCCAGAATCCCTTGTGTGACCACTTTTGGGGGGTTCTGTTTTTTACACAAGCTCTCAGCGAAAGTAGGGGAGGTCAGCGAATCAGCTGATTCCGTCTGAGACAACCATTTTGCCACACTTAGTGCAGTCACATCTTTTGATATCGCAATGTCGTTGAGTGTATCGATACCCACGTCTAATAGGTGGGACAGGGGTAGCCAGTGGATATTCAGGTTTCGGAACTGCGACATGTCTGCAGCATTAACCTGCAGTGCCAGAAAAGTGATGTGCAGCGCCGTTGTGTAGCCTTTAGGATCTGTGTCCAAAAATCTACCTTTTTTTGGTGTGGGCAGAATTGCGCAGGACCCATGCCCTTGAAGCACGCTCCTCTCCAGCCAATCAATCAGCCTTGTCACCCCTGGGGGGCCAACCGATGAGAACGTCGGGATTGAGAGACTCATCGGCCTGGACTTGGGTAAGAAACATTATCCCGTGTGGGGAGTGTGTGCATATGATCGGTACAACCAGTTCAACCGCCAATCCCTTCGCCTTCTCAGCCTTTGTCAGTGTGCGCATAGGGGGGGCGAGGGAGAGGAAGAGCCGATTTTGTTTCCCTTTCTTTCCCGTTGCAGATTTGTTGGTTGTGGGGCGTGAACCTTCTGAAGGTCCGTCTGTCCCTAAGGCCAGATCTGATGTTTTGTGAGCAGCCTTCTTGGATTTCTTCGCCGGGGATTGTGATCCCACCAGGCCAGACGGGATTAGGGGTTGGTTGGGGGAGGGGAGGAAGGCACCCTCCCCCTCCCGACTCTTTGTCTTGTCCGGTGATCGTACGTCCGTGCAATCTATGAAGTCTTCCTTCGACGAGCTCGACCCAGCACCGTTCGCCGAGCCTAGGAACAACGGGTTTGGCTCTGATCCAGAAGAGGGGAAATTATCTTTCAGATGCAGATCCCCTGATTCTTCTTGGACAAGAGTCGATCAGGTCGAAGGTGCCGTTGTTGTAGGTTTTTGTGCCTGTGTGAGAAGGGAGATCTCCAAAGAGGGGCACTAACCCCTCGTCATCATCATCATCGTCGTCCTCCTCCTCCTCCTCTCCCTCCTCCGTATACGAAGAAAAGGGAGAGGGAGGGGGGGACTTATCTTCCACAGGTAGAGTTCTATCATACAAAACCAACGCCTTGCTTTTTACCAAATCTACTTCATTCCGAGAATTCTCATCCTCCTCTTCCATCGTCTTTTCCTCCCTTTTCCTTTTTTCCCGAACCAGTACCCTATCTTCATCAATGTAGTCGGAAGTGGAGCCTCCTGACCCTGTCTTTTCCGTACCCTTGCTTCGGATAGATGGACCGCTCTTGGTCAGGTCGTTGTCTTCACCCCGCCCAGTCACACCCCCTCCTCCCTTTTCGCTATCAGATTTCTCCCCAATCCCACCACCCACAGCCTCGGCTAACTCTTTTCTGGCCGACCCGACGCCATGGATTCCCTCTCCACTCTTCCCTCCACTTTTCCCCTCCTCCCCTCCCGCCAATCTTTCATCCGCTCTTCCCCCAACGCCCCCACTACCGATCGCGTAGCTTTTTTCTTCATGCCCTTCTCCTCTTTTCCCCTTTTCTCCTCCTCGACCTCCTGCGCTCCCGTCTCCCTTATCCTTTCCTCCTCCAGCTCCCATTCCGCCCCCCCCACTCCCTTTCCCCATTCCTTTCTCCCTTCCTCCTTCTCCTCTACCTTCCCCCCCCTTTCTTCTTCCCGCGGCCCCCTCGTCATTATCTTTCTCCTTCCCTTTCGGGGAAGGTGGGCGGGAGCCGAGCCTTGTGGCATTAGCGTAGGATTTCCTGTTCCTCGCGGGGCAATCAGGGTCATCTTCAGAGTGGAAGTATCGCCGACATACCGGACACCAGGGTGTGGACGCATTCACGATCTCAATTTCGACAAACCCCATCCTGCCCAGATCCACAACGAGATAACGTTTATAACGCAAACGAGCCGAAGATTCCAAGTCGAACCGAATGTTCAGCAAGTCAGGGGACAAAGGATCTTTGAATGCTGAACTTTCCTTCAAAATCGGACCAAACGCATCCGAAACAGCCTTTGAGAGATGAGGGAGGGCACCTAGTACAGGTACTTGCAAACACCTAATCCAAAAAAAACGGTACCTGGAGACCTCTCTCCACTCCCACAGCTCGTGTTCGGACATCCAAGGTTTAAAAGAAAGCGAGTATTTTTTCCCATCCAATTCCACAACGGAACTGCCCATTCTAAGCATCCACAACGCGATCTCTTTCGCAGACGCTACATACGTGACAAGGTTTTTCCCCTCGTTGTGAAAAAGCCCGTGTTTGGGTGCAGCTGCGATCTCGCTCGACTCAGCCCATCCGTTTTCGTATATGCGGACCAGGCGCTTTTTCACATTCATTGGGAGTGAGGTGGAATCATCCCCGAAGAACACCGAAACCGCGTGATCACGGAGCCACTCCTCCTGAATGCGGTTGATTTCGGGGTTGATAGTGACTTTCACGTAGTCTTCCCTGGTTTCTACCAAGTTCGGGGCAAGGGCAGAAGGGATAATACCATCAGAGTAGCATAGAGAAGAAACAGGTTACGGATTCTGACCCTTTCTTCTTCTGACATTACCCGGGAAGAACTCGATTCCGCCATTTACTAATGTGACCTAGTACCTAGTAAAAAAGCAGACACGGCGACACTGGGTAATGACCTACGAAGTACACAGAAGCATCCATAAACTTTACGATAAACCATTCATTTCCCCCGGCCACCCAACAAAAGCAGCAAACGGGCGGAGATATTACCTGCCTGCGGTAGGCGTACCGATGCTTGTCACGGTTGCGACCTCCCCTACCTCTCTGCTCCAAACCCCGGTGAGGGAGGAGATCTCGCGGAAGAAGAAAACCAGCACCGTCCGATTCCAACCGGCTCTATTCTGTGAAGTGTGGCGGAGTTCTGGCTGGGACGAGGCGACCGGTCTGGCCGCCGGTATTCCACGGGCAGCTCTCACCACATCAGCTATGGTGAGACCAGGCCCGCCTGCCTTTCTCCTTCGAAAGCAACCTCGGGGGAGACAGGCTAGGAGAGCACGTACCCGTGACGGCGCTGAGTAACTTCCGCCCGTAAACTCCTACCGTCTCCGGTAGAAACCTGGTGCAAAAATTAGCGCAGGGTTTCACCGAGCCGTTCGCCCCTCCTCCTGTGTGTCTTTCTCGGCCTTTTGGCTAAGATCAAGTGTAGTGTCTGTTCTGATCAGTTTAATATCTGATCTGTGGCCCATCGGGTAATTAAAACATAAAAATAAAAAAATCCTTGGGCTCCGAGGATTCCCCAGCCATTTCTTCCTTTTGCCCAAGGGACCTCGTGACGTCCCTTGGGTCCCTTGGGCAAAAGAAATCTGCGAGCAGGCCCAAAAAAAAAAAAAAAAAAAAAAAAAAAAAGGGTAGAGCGACATTACAA